TCAGAGGATTTGGTTTAACTCTTTCACTGTCTACTTCATACCCGTGGTTGTAGGTGCTTTATTTTCGACAAGGAATACCTCTGCGTGTTGCATGTCCGTGTTGTCAAATTCCTAAAACAGAGTTCTGAGGTGACAAGTGGAGTGACAATTTCCCAAAGTTTTATACCAATTGGTGGACCCATGCTTCAGAGATGCTTCCGCACTCGACCGTGATCAGCTTTGAATATTGCTACTTAAGGAAAATATTGTCTATGGCAGAGGACCCAAACTAGTATGTTCCAGGTATTTTGCAGCCCCCTTCCCCATGTCATGAGTAGCGACAGGTCCAGACAGGTGCAGAATCTCATTCTAGCCTAAACATCTGGGGACAAGACACATGGGTGACTCTGTATGACTCCTGTCCATTCTAGGCTAGATGGGGCCTCGGACACACCAGACTTCAGGACTTCCCATCCCTTCAGGGATATCTGAGGGATGACTTCTGAGAAGAAGGTCAGCTATGAAGCTAACTGGGTGGAGGCGAGGGAGAGAAGAAAAAGAACTGGCTTATCTCCCAGCTCCTGGGGCAGGAAAGCAGCCACCACTGTTCAGGCCCCATCCAAACCCCTCCCAGCCACTGCTGGCCTGAAGCAAACACCCTGGGAAGAAGCTGGCTTCCCTGATAATGTAGCCTGCCGTGACCAGCATCCACACACATGTATTCTTACACAGGAACCCGGAGTGTGCACAGCCAATTTAACACCATTCCTAAAGCCCCGGCTGTTTGCCTGACACACTTTGACCAAAAGATGCAGAAGGAGCTCTTCCTACATTTAGACAGAGCATGGCTGCGGGCACTGAGGACAGAGAGAGACCCAGCCTCCTCCCCCACCCCCCAGAAGGCAGCGTGGTCTGCGTTCGTTGTGTGTAATATTAACACAAAGTAGATCAAGGCAGAGAGGGTAACTGGGTTTCACGGCTGCTAGAGAGCTTGCGTCTGAAGAGAGGATGTGGACGCTGAGGTTCGGAGGGGGGAGGAGAGAACACTCGGGGGAAAAACCCCAAGTACAAAGATCCAGAAATGAAGACACTGAGTGTGTCTGAGGGATAAGACCATGGCTGGGTGGGCCCTGCTGGGGACTGGCCTGGATTCCGCACAGGAGGTCTCAGAGCAGGGAGGCCCCACGGGAGATCTCTGTGTGAGCAAGGACGACACAAGTGGCCTCCCTCCCGTGGTGGTCATCAATCCTGCAGAGCCAACCCAGAAGCCACTTCCTCTAAGGGAGTGGCTTGGCCCCACCCCTGCCAGTCCAGATCACCCAATGCGTGGGCACCAGGCTCCTCATGCCTCTGACCGCTGCCAAGATCATAAAACCCTGCAGTTGTGGCTGATACCCATCATCGCCACATGAGCCTCTGCTCACTGTGCCAGAAACCATCTACCTTGCACACCGCCTGGCCACAGCAGGCTCTCACCCCACTCCCGAAAGATAACACAACAGCACGTAAATACACACAGCAGGCTGCCCTTCAGGAGGCAGGCGATGTGTGCTGCCCCTCGATGGAGCTCAAGGGACCTCCTCGAAGCAGGCAGGACTAGTGTGCAAAGAACTGTCTCTACTATGCCCACCTAAGCCTGCTGCCACAGCCATCCAAGGCCAATCACTCAGGCTCAGTAGAGAGTCGGTACCATGAGACAAGTCAAGGGTCAGGCGCTGGACTTTGCTCAGTTTACAGTACAACACACAGTCCTCCTAGAAACAGAGAATCCCATGTTTTCCTTTCCTGTATCCCTGGAGCCAGGAGAGCTCACACAGATGGAGGAAGCCACGTGCCAAGACACCATGGCTGCATTTTATAAGCCACAGCATACCTAGTACATTGAGAAATATCCCTGGGAACAAAAGCCTTGCATATTTGACCTCTGCTTCAGCCCCAAAAGCTGAAGGACTTTGGTTCATGTTTTCAGAGCCTACAATAGCTCAGTGCCGATGCCTATGCGTATCTAATCATACAAAATAATAGTTATGGACGTGAACTCCAGGAAATGGAATCAAGAGGGTTTTTGTTTTCTTTTTGTCCTATTTGTTTTTATGTCTTTGGGAGTAGAAGGGGAGGCACAGAAATAGAGAGGCAAACGGTGAACAAATGCAGCCATGGGACTCATTGGACACTATGTGGAAAATGAACTGTACAACTTGTGGGTGGGGATGGGAGGGGAAAACTGGGAGAGAGCCAGGGAAAAGGTGGCATTGTCCAAAAGGAAATGTTCTCTTTACCGTAACCCCTCTTTACATCACCTTTATAATAACAATAAAGTACTTTAAATTTCAAAAAATGCTCAGTGCTCATGATCCCTGGTGCTATTAGACCCTTGTTAATTAATCAACATATTAAAGTCAGCATGTTAGAAATGAAATTTTGTTAATAAAAGATAGCATTTCACATGTCCCAAGTAATTAAGAAATTCTTTTTGCCAAGTTTAGTTACATTATACATTTTCTGGAGGGCAGTTTGGCAACTTGTATTAAAAGCCTTTCTTAAACCTGAGCCTATTTCTGAATAGCTATCACAAAACCAGGCTACAGGAATACTTGTCACAAAGCACTAGTTATAAAGAGCAGTTGAAAACAACCCAAATATCGAGCAGGAAGTAATCAGTTAATTAGGGCACATCTGGACAATGGGGCACTCTGCATCTAAAGTAATGACAGAACAATAATCAGCCTCTTCTAGCACTTGCTCTGTGCTGCAGGCCAGAACAAAAGCTTGACATGCACAATGCTACTTAGTTCCTGGTAACAGAGGCTTAGTAGCCTCCTCTCATAGATGAGATAATCAAGATCTAGAAGAATCCTCTGCCCAATGTCACATAATCTGACTCTGGAAATCAACAGCTTAGCTCTTATACTACCTGGCTTCAGATGATCCCATAAAAGAAATACTATAGAAGCAATATCAGCCACGTGGAATGATGCCAATGATATATTGGTGGAAAACAGGTTACGAACTAGAATAGGCAGCCAGTTCTTACTTATGCACATGCAGGCAAAACTAAGGGACATGGTTTAGAAAGGTGCACTGCTAGCATGCTGGGATAGACCTGAGCCGGTGGGTTGCTTGTCCGTTGTTTTCCTGTTTTTCTTTAACAAATCCATGCTGTTTCCTATCAAGAAGAAAAGTTAATTTTAACTTAAAAAATTAACACAAATCACCCCCCAAAATTATCCCTTGCAACTCATCTTCTGCTGTAGAAAAAGGTTCCAGCTTGCCAGCCTGGCTCTAAGGACCAACACAACCTCGGGCCTGAGCTCTGCTTGCTCTTCAGGGCTTAGTTTCCCCCTGGAAGAGACAGGATGGGTTCTTCCCATCCTGCCTCTCGGCAAACTGCCCCCTCTCATGCCAGAAAGCTCACTGGGCACTGGCACCACATCCCAGGAGAGCTGCCTGACTGGCAGCACAGCTCTGGGCCAGCTATGGCTCTGGCAGCCAAGCCTGCATGAAGTTCACTGTCAGAAGTGAAGGCCCCAAAGCCACAGAATCATCCAGGAACAGGGGCCCCAGTTCTGCAGCAACATATACAAGTACATCCCTTCCCTCCATCACCTGCTTCTGCATTCTTTGACCTTGGGCAAGTTGTTTCTTCTAAGCTTATCCTTTTTTTCCCTTTTCCTTCAATTCATCAAATAAAGAAAACTAATAACCTAGAAAGGGAACCATAAAACAATTCTATATAATTACATATACAAATAATTGTATATACATATAATTACATACATAATTATATGTATGATATGTGCCTACATAAGTATGCATATATACATATATACATGTGGCGGGTGCATAACGCTGTGTTCCTGGCTCTTCTGTTGAGATGGGGTCTGCTGGATTTTTTTCCTCTGGGCTGGACTCCAGCTGCCATCCTCTGGATTGTAGCCTGTAACTGGGATGCCGGCACGGGCCTCTAAGACAGCATTTGCCTGTACGATCGCCACTCTGATGGCCAGCACAATGATGATCTACCCTTCTCAGAGAAGAAGCCTTTGAGTGGTATAGCCACTGACAGTGGTGCTGTGGAGAATGTCTGCCGGGGTCACTGCTCCCACACCACACCCAGGAATCCCTGCTCGGTGTTTAAACCTGGGAAGGCCCCCCCCACCCTGTTTGGAGGGTCACCACTGTCATAGTTTTTGAGAAAAAGTGTCCCCAGCCCCCCAGCCACACACATCACCACCAGGCCACAGGTGGCTTTCCTGGGTCATGCCCCAAACTCCCCTCCATATTCGCTTGGAGTCAGTCCAAGGATCATGGAGATTGGCTTTGCTGTTGTACAACCTATGCCAAGTCCCTATCCAGACCTGGCCTCACGCTCTTGGCCACCCGAGCTGCTGGCCCAACGGGGCCTTGTCCTCACCCCAGAAGTTAGGCCTGCTGGCGCTTACACTTGGCACCTATACTGCCCAGAAACCCTTTCGGGGCTTCCCCACCCCAAGCACCTGGGCCCTGGGCCTGGGTCTCCCAGCAGCCGGGAGCAGAGGGATCCACACAAGATCAGCAGAGCAGGGTCTCTCCATAGCCACCCAGCGCTAAGTGTGTGAGGATGGAATCTGCGTGTGTGCATGCACACTCACGCACAGGCAGGCTTGCAAAGAAGTGTGTAAGTGGGAGCGAGTGGGTGGCGGATGTGTGTGTGAATGTGGGGGGGGGGAGAGGAGGAGGGGGAGGGGGAGGGGGAGGGAGAGGAGGAGGAGGAGGAGGAGATGATGATGATGATGATGGAGATGGAGATGGCCACCAGGTCGGGGCAGGCTGCAGGCCCGGCTGGGCTGGGCTGGGCTGTGCCCCCCGCCCCCCCATCACATTGAGAAATCTCAGTGAGTCACCGCGGGTTCTGCATATTAATGAGCTCGCTCGCTGCGAGGGCAGGAGCGCATTTAAACGAGGCCGGGTGGGGGAGGCCGGGGCGGAGGGAAGATCTCCCCGAGCGCCAGGCGCAGCGGCGGCGGCGGCGGCGGCGGCGGCAGCGCAGGATCGCGCGCCCGGACAGCTCGCTGGGATCCCCGTCGAGGCGGCACCGCGCCGCGCCCGGAGGTGCGCGCCGAGCCACCGGCTGGGCCAGCCCCGCTCCCTCCCCATCCCCGCCGCCGCCGGACGACCCGACCCCGCCGCGGCGCCCTCCGTCCCGGCTCCCGACACCTCCGGCCGGCATGAGGCTCCTGGCGGCCGCGCTGCTGCTGCTGCTCCTGGCGCTGTGCGCCCTGCGCGCGGACGGTGAGTGCCGGGCGGGTCCCCGGGGGTGCCCCCCGCCCCCAGCCGTCCCGTCGGAGGTCCTGGGGAGCCCCACACACCCACCACCACACTGGGGCCCCGGGATGCCGGGGACTCTGGGGGGACTGGGGGGGACGGGGGGGGGGGGGGGCGCACGGTAGCGCAGACGGAGACCTGCGGCACCGCTGAGCCGCCCGCCCGCCGCCGCCCCGCAGGGTCCAAATGCAAATGCTCCCGCAAGGGGCCCAAGATCCGCTACAGCGACGTGAAGAAGCTGGAGATGAAGCCAAAGTCCCCGCACTGCGAGGAGAAGATGGTGATGTGAGTTGTGCGGGGCTCGGCCGGGGGGAGGGGGGGGCGCACTGCCTGGGGTCGGAGTGAGGACCCGGGCCGCACTCGCTAGGATGCAGGTGGCTTTGCCCCGGGGCCAGCTCACTGAGCCATCGGTGGCTCTTGGTGTGCCAACTTCACACACACGCGCACACACACACACACACACACACGCAACGTCCCGTGTGCCTGCTGTCCCTGGAGATCGGAGTCACACCAACAGCATCTCTCCTTCTGGCTTTTCTTTTAGAAAAGGACAGTCAGGGGACTGTCTGTCTGTCTGTCCACTGCGATGGCCAGCCTCCGGCTTCTGGGGATTTTGATTGTGAGATGGGAGCTGGTCCATGCCAGCTGCTGGACTCCCCACGGCCCCTCCAGCCTGAGCTGTCCTGGGGGGGGGGGAGCTCTTTGAGGAAGGGGGGATCTTTGGTGCCACAAGACAGGAGAGGCTTGCTTGGTGGTGGGCATGCGGGCGATGTCTTAAAAAAAAGTGGGGCAGAGCAAGAGAACACTGCGTTTCCCGGCTTGTCCGCCTTCCCAATTAACCACTTGCAGCCGGCACCGAGTCTCTCCCCACCAGTACTGCTCTTGGCCAGAACCCCAGCCCTTGGCAAAGCAGCTCCCAAATATTTGCCATGCACCACCGGCCCCTGTGCCCCGCCCCCAGAAACAGGACACACTTTATTCTCAGTCTGGACGAGTGCCTTCCACCCGCTGGCCCCGCTGCTCCCCGAGACCTTCACGGGGTGTCTGAGAAGGAAGGGCATGCTCCCAGGCTGCCCCAGGCCAGACAGTCAGGCTGAAGTGAGGAGAATTCAGAAAGACACCAGGCCTGAAAGGATTCCCATGCTTTTCTCCACTGGCCTTTAAATGAGCACCCCACCCCCTCAGCCTCCCAAAGCTGCCCTTTGCCTTGATCCAGAAATAATAATAATAACAATAACAACAATAATAATAATATCCTGATGGCTTAAGAAGAGCCGTAAGCCCTCAACAGTTCCAGCTGGGGAGGGGTGGTCACAATGTCAAGGGGCGTGCACGTTGTGTCTAAGGGTGGGGTACAGTGCTTCCCCCCAAAAGAATGGAATCCTCACTTAGCAGGCTTGCTCTTTTCTTGGCTATAACTGACAAGCATAGGAGAAAGTGTCGCATTCGCCTTCTGAGAACATGCTGGAACTTCATAAAATAAGCAGGCACCTCGTCCTATCCCCTCAACTTCCTCTCCCACCTCCAAAGCCCCCCACAAGCCCTCTGGAAGGGTTGGAGGCTCCTCTCCGCTAAGACTCTCAACATCAGACGGGGGGGGGGGGGGGGGGGGATGGGGGGGGGCCAATACTTTTTGGCAAAGCCGGTTTCCAGGCACAAAGGCTGAACAAAAGCAAGTTTTCCAGTTCACCCCGAGTCACCCAGAAATCTCTAGCAGGGGAGGAGGGGAGAGGGGGAGGCGGCAGCGGAGTCTGCTTAGCAAGTACAGAGTCCTTGCAATCTGAAGGGTCCAAAAGAGTCAAGTAGAAAGGTCATTTGTGTCACGTGCCTACCGAGCTCTCCTTAGGACCTTTGGCACCCCACAAACTGCCAGCGTGAAAGTCACAGGACCCAGAATTTTGAATCGTTGTTGGGGTCACGAATCCTCCTGGCTTCCTGGCCGACTGGTATTAATCACCTGAGCTACCCTACGTGTGCTGAGCACCTTGGTAGGAGAGCTGAACTGCTCTGGCCTGCTCTCTGACCTTTAGGAGTTGGGGTGCTCAGCCAGCACCCTGACCTGAAAAGAGAACCTTTCTCACGTCCTCACATTCAGAGTCCTCACATTCAGAGTGCAAAGACGGCATCGTAAGCGTGGAATGGGGGATGTGCTGATTTCCTGCAGGGCAACTAGCTACCAGGTTGGGGTTGGGGGTGCGGAAGCTAGATTTTACTTTTAGCCCCGTGCTAAAAGCCCGAGAGGAGCTGCATCTCATGGAGGCGGCAGGGCCCAGTCACCTGGCCTTAAAAGAAGGTTCTTCCCTGGGAACTCCGCACAGAGCAGGGAAGAGAACAGGTTACCCATACACATTCGGTCTCCCATTGGGGTGGCAAGATCTCCCCATTGATGGGGACGCTGTGTTTACCTCAACCCTGCCCCTCCAGAACTTGGCCCTCGAGCCCTACCTTTGGTAGCCAGGGGAGGCCCTCGCCTCCCACTCTTTCCATCTGACTCCCAACAACCTCTCTCCGAGCACCCCTTGGGAAGTGTCGGCCTCACGTCTCTCTTTGTCCTTCCTTCATTCTGGAACACCATCCTTCCTTTCCTACCAGAAGCTTCCTCCTATCTGGCCATCCTCCCCTGCCAAGGAGAGAACGCAAGTGCAGGGCAGACAGCAGGCTTGTGTGCCCCCCCTTCCTCCCCCTCCCCCCGTTCCAGGCCAAAGCTCCCACACATACAAAGCTGGTCTTTTTTTTTTGTTTGATTGCCTTCTTTTCCACGAATAATTACCAATAATAGTATTCATCGGGTACCTCTCAGAAACTAGGCACTTGATGTATATTATTGCCTTTCACTGTCACAATAACTTGGAGTACATCCTATTACTGTGACCATGTTACAGATGGAGGTAATGTAGGTTAAGGGGGAGTTCAAATCCATAGCTTGCGCTTGTACAAGCCCACATACTTCCCTAGCACAGCCAGGCTTTCCTGGTATGCCAGAGCACTAGCTGAGGGAGGCCTGGGATCTTTGTGCTATGAAGAAGCCAGGTCTTCCCTTTCTGCCCAAAGAGGAGATACTGAGACCTCATCATCAAAACGGGCTCAAGACCAACAAGGTTTTGCTTCAGGGTCAGCAACCTGTGGTGGGACTTGAGGGTCAGAGACCACAGCATCTGCAGGATGTGTCCTAACTCCACGACTGGCACTTTGCCCTGCTGGCATTGGTTCTCTTCACCTCTGGATCCTGGGTACAGTCGCCCAAGAGAGACCTGAGCCCCTGCTGGAGGTATAAGGTGGGAGACGCTATCCCAAACAATGAGACCTCCAAGCAAAGCAAGACCACTTCCCCCATATAGGTTAGACCATAACATGGAGTCAGAGATTCAGGGGACACCCGACCTTCCAAAATCCATCCAGGAAGGAAAAGCTGCTGCAAAGGAGCAAGGAGACCAAGTGTCTCCATGCCCTAATCTGACAGACCAGACCCCGCAACAGGTCAAGAAAGGAGGTGTTACTCAGCCCCCTCAACCCTGCATCCCCTCCCACTCCATTTCAGCATTACCACCAAGAGCATGTCCAGATACCGGGGCCAGGAGCACTGCCTGCACCCCAAGCTGCAGAGCACCAAGCGCTTCATCAAGTGGTACAATGCCTGGAACGAGAAGCGCAGGTAGGCCCTCCTCCTCCTCTTGCCCTCCTTCCTGCCTTCCGCCACCCAGCTGTGGCTCTCACCGCCCCCCCCCCGCCCCCCCCCCGCCCCCCGCCAGCCCCGTGCCACGTCATCCAGCCCCGCCACAACACTACAACAATCAGATGACAAGACATGGGGTCTCTACCGCCAAGGAAAAGCAACTCGCCACTTCACCAAGGAGGCTCTGGCCCCTGTACACGTTGCAGGTTTAGCTCTGTGAACCAAAGTCGGCTGTACTCTAACTTTCACACGATACAGTCTTCATATATGTAGCTGACATAAGCTGTCAGGAGCACCTGACATGGTATCGCCCTGTGCTAGTCTCTCCAGAGCGTTCCCCTGCCCCACAGGGTCCAGATTGGCTGATAAATTCCTTCCCACGTGGGTATGAGGCCTTGGGTTTACCCCTGTCTCCCAGGGATCAGCAGTTGGTCATGAGATGGCCAGTGCCCTGAGCCCATTCCCCACCTTCACGAGCAGACTTCCGAGTTCTGGTCCCTGACGTTCGAGATGTGGTCTTGGAAGGGGAGGCTGCTTTCCGGCTCCCTTGTCCCACATGAGGGCGGTCTGTCCTGGAATGGGCCGCTCCTCACGCATGTGAAGCCTGCTTATATCTTTGCCTGGATAGCCCGGCCGAGGAAGCTCATACACATCCTCAGATGTGAAGCCCGTGCCAGCATCTTGTTCTGCAGAGGGGGAGTCAAGGGGAGGTAGGGAGAGGACATGACTACCTAGATAGCACATGGAAAAGCCGGAGCAGGAAGAGAGGCCCCCTCGGAGAATGTGCAACCATATTCTAAAACACACATAGATGCATATACTAATATATCTAATCATCCTAATATATATTAGAATGCATATACATTCGAATATATTAGAATACACACACACACACACACACCCATTCTAACATGGGCATCCATGATGCCTGTCCCATCCCCTGACCCGGTGCCACCCCCCACCCCACCCCCTCCTGCTCCTGGCTCAGCTCTGTGGCCATCTCTCTCACAGACACTCGGGCTGGGTCCTGTACCTGAAAGCATTTTCTTTTTTTTCTTTTTTTTTTTTTTTGTCGGTTGTGGGACTTGAACCCTGGGCCTGGGCGCTGTCCCTCAGCTCTTCAGCTCAAGGCGAGCGCTCTACCACTTGAGCTACAGCGCCACTTCCTGAAAGCCTTTTCTTGCTGCCTGCAAAACTGCCTCATCTGCAGTGACTTGACATAGAAAGTGATGAGAATAAGAGACGATTTCCCTATCTGATGGGAACGATGCCCTCTTTCAGGCTGGGTCAGACAAGCGCACATGACAGAAGCAAGCCCTGTCCCGTCCACTCTCTCTCTCTCGCTCACACAGCTAGGGCTGCTTGTGTCATCAAAGGTAGAGTGAGGCTAAGCCCAGGGCCAGTTCATGTAGGGTTTGAGAAGACCTTGCTCGGGCTCCTGGAAGATAAAACTTGTGCCCACCTGGTCTCTCCCCATCCTCTTGGGCTTCAGCTTTAAAGAAGAGGTACCTGGGAGCCGAAGGTAGCCTTGCTTTTTTTTTTTTTCTGTCAATTGCAATAATGAAAGCAAGAACAGCCCCTCGGTTACCACACTTTGCCTGAGTTCACTGTATCGAGTTCCTCTTTCTTTCTTGGAATGCTGAGCTGTCTTGGGAAAGGAAAGGTTGAAAAGTGTCTTAGTGAGTGTAGAATGGCAATAAAGGAGCTGTGTAAAGTCCTTTTTGCAGAGAGAGACAGACAGACAGACAGACAGACTGTACTGAACCCAGGATGGAGAAAGAAGAAAGGGTACATGGCAGGATCAGGCCTGTAGGGCCTGACAAGGAACTCAGCCCCTCAAGAGACCAGAGCTTCTGGCTACCACAGGAAGTAGCCACGGCAGGCATCTTATTTCAACCCAGGGCCAGGTTGTCGGGCTGGGCGTGCAGTGGGGTCCTAAGGCAGCCAATCAGAAAGGCTCAGAGGAACTCAATGGAGTCAGTGTAGAAGGTGAGGGGCAAGGCAGGGCAGCTCATGAGTGTCTGATCACTGGGAGAGGCAGGGCAGCAGAGCCAAGAGGAAACGACCGTGGGGCACAGGTCCCAGACCTGGTCACCCCCTTCCAGGCGTTAGGCAGTGGCTCCTAGAAATGGTGTTTTCCTGGGTGACAAGTGTTAAGTCAAGGGAGGGGAGCCCCCCATTTTCTCTGAGAAGAGGCTGAGCTCAGGGGAGAAATGGAACTCAGAGACACAGGAGTTTCCCATCCAGCCAAAGAGGGTCTCGCTCCTCCAACAGTCCAGACTCATCAGGTATATATCATGTGTCTCGGGCCTCTTGTTTCCATATCAAAAGGTTTATTCCATGGGGGGCGGGGGGGGGGGGGTATGGAATCAGCCGACGCTGATTAGAAAGGAAAAGGCCAGGTTGGTGTGAGTTTTTGTGTCTGGGACAATCGGGTCGTCTGAGATGTCCCTTTCACTCCTGGGAGAAGGGCAGCCGAGAGCTGCTCTGAGCCAGGTCCTGAGCCACTTACACCTGCCCCCACTCCCCCCTTTCTCTCTTCCCAGGGTCTACGAAGAATAAGGTGGAGAAAACAAATCTGATAGGAAAAAAACTCCAGACCGGTTGGGAGACTTCAGCAAAGGACTTTGCAGATTTAAAAAATCAAAACCCTTTCTTTCTCACAGGCATAAGACACAAATTATATATTGTTACCAAGCACTTTTTACCCAGGGTCGGTTTTTACATTTTATAGCTGGAGGCGAAAGGCTTCCAGATGTGAGACCCAGCTCTCCTGCAGACTTTTGTGTGTGTGTGACAGGCGGCTCTTTGCTGAAAAGGGAGAAACTCATGCCTTTCCTTTTTTTTTTTTTTGGTATTGTTCATATGTCACGCCACATCTGAGCTTTATCCGCGTCGGGGAGGAACAATGGTCTTGGTGGGACATTTCCTTACAGCCCTGCTCCGTTCTTAACTTGGGCCTGGCGTCTCTGCACAGCGCCACAGACTTTCCCGGGCTTCTGGCTGCTCCCAGCCTCCGTGTGACTCTGCCAGTGGCCCCTGTCATGGGGACAGGTCTGTCCACATCTGCGCTTAGAGGAACTAGTCTGGTTGCCTGACAAATATGCTTCCTCCCTTTTTCCCCTTCCAGTCCATTTTTCCTCTACTCTAGGACACATTTCCAAGATTAGTTGAATGGCCAGGCAAGAGCTTCTTAAAGAAGAACTGGAGCGTTTCTTAAAAGGGTTCACTGCTGCTTCCGCTCACTGCCCCCACTTCCCATCAGCAGCAAAGCTCCCAACTCCCATCAGCAGCCTTAGGGGGGGAACTTCACATCACACAGATCCATGCACGACACATGGCGGGGACCTGCACGGGACCCACAAGGGGAAAGCCCTCAGCACATGCTTCTCTCCCTCACCACAGCAGATCATGCAATACGTCTGTGACTCCCTGTGGTCCTCTTTGGGGCGCTAAGTGTTCCCTCCTGTGTATAGAACCTCTTCCAGCCACCTGTCACGCTTCCCTCCCATAGAGGCCGCATTGTACTGCTGTGTTATATGCTCTGTAAATGTCGGAAACCGTTAGTGTTGCATGCAGGTTTCGTATTCTAAGACAAAAAAAAAAAAAAAGGTAATAAAATATATTTGAAATGTACCAAAAAGTCGTTTTTCCTCCCCTTGTATGGTAAACATGGAGGACAATAAACCGTTTGCCACAGTCTGGATAAACAGGACAGATTGGGAAAGGAAACGGGTGTTTCTCAAACACCTGTCAAGCCTTCGCCTGTGTAGAATGGGGACAGTGGCCTGGCCGGCGATGGTTCCCACACGCGCTACAGGTGGGTCAGAGGGGCAGGTGAGGGGTACAGACTGAGGGGCGGGGCTGTGTCACAAGATGTTCTGGCGTCCAGGGCCCCAAGACTCCATGGAAATGCCCACCTGAGAGGCCGGGGCCTGGGAGCTAGGGGACCGGACGCTTGACAGTAGGTGTCACCCAATGGTGCTTCTGGAACTGAGGAGGCAGCCAAGGTACGGCACTGAGTAGAGCCCCTGAGCCTAGGAGTCCCTGGTAGATGGGAGGCGTGGTAATAGTCCAAAGTCCAGCCGGTGGGTACAAATGTATGCCAGTAACTGACATATGGTAGACTGGAAGGAGAACTCAGGGTAAATCCTTAGGAAGGCAAAGACAAAGCCCAACGAAATGAGCAGCAGGAAACTAGTACTTGCAAAAGGGGAGTAGGACCAAGGAGAATGGTAGACAATTGCAGAGGCAGACAAGAATTCAAGGTACATACTATAAAATTAAGAGAAGTAAGGGAAGCTGGGCACCGGTGGCTCACACCTATCATCCTAGCTACTCAGGAGGCTGAGATCTGAGGATCGTGGTTCAAAGCCAGCCAGGGGCAGGAAAGACCCTGAGACTCCAATTAACTCCAGAAAATCCCAAGGAGAGCTGTGGCTCAAAGTGATAGAGGGAAAAAGCTCAGGGACATTGTTCAGGTCCTGAGTTCAAGCCCCATGACCAACAACAACAAAAAACAAGAAAAGAAAGGGAAGGGAAGGGGTGGGGTGGGAACGGGCAGGTGAGAATGTTGAAAGTGGTGACACTGATCAAGATGCATGATAGTCCTAAACTGCTTTGTTAAAAGGCAACTTCTTTGTACAACTACTTAAAGATATTTTTAAAAAGTAGCCCAAGGTTCAGGCCACTTAGCACACGCTACCCCCAGCCCTGTATCTCACTGTGTCCTGAGCCAGTCAGGCCCTAAAATAACTCTGCAGAGCCAGGAGCCACTGGTTCACACCTGTCATCCTAGCTACTCAGGAGGCTGAGATCTGAGGATCACGGTTCAAAGCCAGCCCGAGTAGGAAAGGCCATGAGACTCTTATCTCCAATGAACCACCAGAAAACCGGAAGTGGTGCTGTGGCTCAAGTGGTAAAGCTCTCGCCTTGAGCTGAAGAGCTGAAGTGCCCAGGCTGTCAGGCCCCAATAAGCCATAGCAGAAGCCAGAGGGCTTTTCTTGTTTTTGTCAGTCATGGGGCTTGAACTCCTGGCCTGGGCGCTGTCCCTCAGCTCTTCAGCTCAAGGCGAGTGCTCTACCACTTGAGCCACAGTGCCACTTCCGGTTTTCTAGTGGGTCATCGGAGATAAGGGTCTCGTGGACTTTTCTGACCGGGCTGGCTTTGAACCGTGATCCTCAGATCTCAGCCTCCTGAGCAGCTAGGATGACAGGCGTGAGCCACCGGCGCCCGGCTGCCAGGTCCCTCAACAGAAGCCCTTGCTTAGGCCCAGAGAAGCACCAACATGCCTCACGGCGGTTGGCACAGCCCTCCCAGCGCAGTCCCCTTCCTTTACCGGGGTGCAGGCCTCTGCGTTGTTCTGAGCTCTAGCTGCATGACATCACCCTTCCACCCGCTCTACACACAACACACACAGGTCTTCCCCATGCTCCGCGCCCCTGTACAGCCCAGGGTTGCCATGCCTGCCCTGCTGGCCCAGGATGTCCCTCCCTTCTCTGCCCCTCCTTGTGGGGAAAGGAGAGGGTGGGCACTTCATCCTCAGCCACCTGCTGAGGTGAAGGACAGGAAGCCTGAAACTGAAGTCCAATCCAGCACAAAGCAGGTCCTTTTCAGATAGACGGTGTCCCTGGGACATGAGCCCTGGGCTTTGCTTCCCGGGGATGCTGGGATTCTTTCCTCCAGCTGCCAGACCAGTAACGGTAGGCTCCGAGTGGCAGACCTTCACCAAATGTGACATGAGGACCCCCCCATCCTAATACCCATAACCACACCAGGCTCCGGGGGAAAACGCCCTTTTCTGGAGTTGCAGAGCTATGTCTGTGGTTTTTCTCCTGCAGGCTTCCCAGGATCCCTGAGGCATCCGCCCAGCACATTCCATAGACAAGAGTAATTCTAGCCCTGCAAAGCAAGGCCCGGCAGCCTTTCCAACAGGGTCTTGCCGCCATGGTTCTCCAGGGTCCTCTGGCACCGGGCGTGTGTCTCTGCACATGTGCGGCCTTACCCTGGGGGGTGTCACTTTTTCCTGACAGGTAAGATCCAGTGGGGTCCATACACCGTGGCACCTGACTTCCCAAAACACCCTGAGCAGGAACCTGGCGCTTCAACCGCTGGACCTGACACCAGTGCAGCCATGTCTGAGCTTCAGCCCAGCCAAGGGCTCCATCTCCACCCGGACCTTCCCTCCCTTAGTTCTCACTCCAGCAAGAGCTTTTCCTGGTCACGCACTTCAGGTCATGACTGGCTACCTATCTGGAGCAAAAGGAAAGATGGCAAAGGCCCTATTCAAACACTACAAGTCTACAGTCAATATTAATTACTATAGGGGCTGGAGATATGGCTCGAGTCATAGAGCACCAGCCAATGAGCAGAAAGCAAGCCTCCAGGCTGGGAAGGTAGCTCAGTGGTAGAGTGCTCACCTCGCGTGCATGAAGCCCTGGGTTCAATTCCTCAGTACCACATTAACAGAAAAGCCCGAAGTGGTACTGTGGCTCAAGTGGTAGAACGCTAGCCTTGAGCTGAAGAAATCAGGGACAGCGCCCAGGCTCAGAGTTCAAGTCCTACAACTGACAGAAATAAAAAAAGCAAGCCTCCAATACCAAGTTCAAGTCCTCATCTCCAAGAAATATGTGTATACATGTGTATATATACCCTATAACACGTATATATATGTAGATGTATATATATATATATATATATATATATATATATATATATATATATATAAAACTTACTGTAGATTTCAAACAGCCAGAAGGAAAGATTCTGAATGTTTCTAACGTGAAGGAATGGTTAGTATTTGTTGTGATGAATACATTAACCACCCTGGCCTGATCATTCCACATTGTATACATGGACTGAAATACTACACTACATCACATGAATATGTACAATTACTGGGTGTCAATTTAAAAAAATAAGTGAAGAGAAAGAAAGAACAGGAATTCCAAGCTAGCAACAACAGGGCATTAAACCAAGCATGGACCCCGTCCCAGCCCAAAGGTGTTGCTGGGACAGTTCAAGCCCACAAAGCCAGCCTGTCTCCAGCTTCAAATCAAGTACCTGTCTGGATGAGTCATTCAACCTTGAATTGCTACTTAATTTGTACTACAATTTAACAGTTTCATTTGCATTTGAATGTTTAACATGGTGTGTTCTTAAAAGGCAACTACTGTGTCTGAAGCTGCTTTGTAAAAACCTCCCACCACTTAGATGGGCACATAACCTAATCATACTGGGTTTTTCCAGTGATAGTGGTTAACTTACAGCTAGTTACAACAATTGACCAACAACTACTTACCATAGACTTACTGACCACAGCATACCATTTGTTTCTTTCCTTGTTAAATCTAAAACTAGTCCTGGTGAGTAGCTCAAATAGAATACATGCCTAACATGTATGAAGCCATGGACTTGATCCCCAGAAATCCTCAAATATGTATATGTGGGTGTGTGTGTGTGTGTGTGTGTGTGTGTATAATATGTATATACATATTATATATATGTATATATATAATATGTATATATGTGATATATATATATTATATATATATATATGATATGTATATATATATATATAACAACTTTCCACTTACAGGAAGCACCTTCCGACTTCTTTTCGGCATGCAAAATTGCTGGCATCACACCTCTTGCACATTACTAAATAGAATATCAGTAAGTAAGAATAAATATTGTCATTATGAAATAAAGGCAAGGGTTCCCCGTGCATAAGGCAGGAGATCTGATCACCAAGATAGTTACTGCTAATGAAGTGGTAGCCTAGATGCATGGATACGCTGGACAGAGGGAAGATACAGCACGGGTCCTCTATACGCTGGACAGAG